AGCAGAGCATCACCTACTCCTTACAGAATTTTTTGTGATTTTCCTTTTTATTTTACTGGCAAAACTTCAGGCTGTGTCAGCTAACAATAGCTACACTATCAGCAAATATTGTTACCTACATATTTTCCCTTTTTTTCATTCCTAGTTTGCTTCACTGCTTCTGTGCCCTACCTGTGTTAAACACTCTATTGTCTGTATCTTTGGATGAACCTCTTGTAAGGACAAAATACATAGCAGCTGGTGATGCCATTAAAAGATAAAAGGCCAAAACAAAACCCTTAAAATATTTTCCCATTCTTTCACATGTATCCCACGGTATTTTAATGCCTGTTGTCATAAGAGATGGACCAAAAATGCCATTTTTTCCTATCAGCAGCTCCTCTCTTTCCCTGCCTGCCTCTATTCCTGCCTCCCCTTTCACCAAACCAAACCTTTCTTTGGATTCTGTCTGCAGCTGACCTGAATGAGGAGAAAATAAAGACTTCAACAGTGGCATATTTTACTGAGTATCCCCGACCTTAATTCATTGTCTGGCCGATTGTGCAGATCCTTGTCTAACGATTTGCTGTTGTTTCCTGAGGCTAGAGGCTTCCTCTGCAGCCTGGTGAAGTTCCTCTTTCTGGTGTAGGACTCCTCTTGCTTCAGCAAGAATTTTGGGACAAAAATAGAACTTTAATTGGAAAACTAAGCTGGTGTCATGCAGAAATGTAGGGAGTTGAGAAGAACTGGAAGGATTGATGTGTCATAATTGGATTGAATCTGTCAGCACAGAGAGAGCAAGTGCAGAAACTGAGGTGAGTTGGGGTTTGCTGTGAGTGACTTTCAGAGCTGGGCTGTCAGATAATGAGTGTTCTGCCGGTGAATTGCTGGTTAGCAGCTTTTTATCATGGTAAATAAGCTTCCTCACAGCCCATTCTCCAACTTCCTCCTCTGCAAGTCAGAGTGAAGTTATCTAAGATCTCATCACTAATGCTACTCTCAGTGCAGCAGCAGTTCCTCAGCAGCCTTCAATCCAAGGCTTTACTATGTGACCAGTTTTGTCTCTCAAACATGTTTTTTATTGTCTGTCTGTAAATTAATCTTCTGTATTTTTAAGCACCTGCAACAAACATTTCAGCATTTGCCGATTTTGGATCTAAAAATGCCTGTTCAGTTATACCACACTGAATTCCCACAGCAGTAAGTGAATTCTGATAGACTGAGTGCTGCTGCCTCTTGATCTAAGCTTGGAATGAAAAGAGGAAGAAATGGATTAAACCTCCTGTTTTCATTTCCATCATGACCTCTGAACACTTTTTCCTTTAGTGTAAGTGGAGTTACCACTAAGTCAGTGACCTCTACCTCTGACTAGTGTACACACAAACCACATCCCCATTCTTTACCAGAAAGCTTTTTAAATTCCTCTCATTAGCACACAGAACATGCTAGGAAGCCGTGCAGTAGAAGCTCCAGCATTCCCAATTCTCTGCAAGTGTGGTTCTCTGTGAAACCTTATTTCTGCTATTCAGGCATTTACAGAAAATGACATTTTGGAGCTGTCACTCTGTGGGTTTGATTTTCCAGGCCAGTGCAGCATCCCACACTTCTCCAAGCTCTCCCCATTCCCTCACTCCATGGTATGTTAGACACACACTTCTTCCAGCAGTTTCCCACAGAATTAATTTTCACTTTTTTCTTTCAGGAGTTGTTTCTCCCTCTGGTCAGGTCTCCAATTGCTACTTTTGTGTTCACCATTGTGTGAATCAGAGTCACAAAGACTGTGGGTGAACCAACAGTATGAGCAATATCTCAGCAAGAGGAGGAGTTTCTTTCCCAGTCTGGCAGCTGTCTGTCTGTCAACACATCATCACTCATTTCCTGAGGAGAAGTACTGCATCCCATCAGCTGGGATACTCTTGACAGGGATCCTTCTCACTGCAGGTAAACCACAGTTGTATGTCTGACACCTGATTTGACTTTTAAATGTCTCAACACTGCATAGTTTGCCTTTTAAATGTAAAATGTCACAACCCCAGAATGGTTGGGGTTGGAAGGACCTTAAAGCCCACCTCATTCCACCCCCTGCCATGGGCAGGGACACCTTCCCCTATCCCAGGTTGCTCCAAACCCTACCCAGTCTGGCCTTGGACACTTCCAGGGATGCAGGGGAAGCTGCAGCTTCTGTGCCAGGGCCTTACCTCCCTCCCAGTAATGTGAAAATCCAGAGAGCAGGGACAGTATCCTGCCTGCCCTTAACTGCTGCAAATTTCAGACCCTCTTTTGACTCTTTTTCCTGAAGATCCATGCTCATATCTTTGTAAAACTCTGAGCCACCACCACTGGTGCCTGCTGCTGCACAGCCCAGCAAGGAGCAGTGCCAGCAGGGGCAGCTGAGGCTCTGGATTGTTTTTCAGCAAGTCCATGAACCTGTTGGTCACGTTCCTCTGCCAAGTGCAGGCTTTGGAAATGGAGGGTGAATCAGCATCACCTGATTCCCCAGTGACGGTGATTTGCTTTCCTTAAACTTTTAAGAAAGATCCATTCTTGAGGTTTTTTTTTTTTGCTCATGATAACCACTTACTCCTTATCTTTGAACCCTCCAGTCTCTGAGGCATGGTCTGAAAATCAGAAGTTCAGCTCAAAGCTCCAATTAGAACAGCAAGCCTGAATTTCACAGAAACACAGAATGTGCTGGGTTGGAAGAGATCCACAAGGATCCAACTGCTGGCCCCCACAGCAATCCCACCCTGTGCCTGAGAGCATTGTCCAAATGCTTCTTGAGCTCTGGCAGCTTTGGTGACATTCCCTGGGAAGCCTCTTCAGTGCCTGACCACACTCTGGGAGAATGTTTTTCTAATATCCAACCTAAACCTCCTCTGACACAGCTTAAGGCCATTCCCCCAGGTCCTGTCACTGGTCCCCACAGAGATCAGTGTCTGTCCCTCCTCCCCCCTCATGAAGAAGCTGTAAACCTCAATATCTCCCCTCAGCCTCCTCCAGGCTGAACAGCCCAAGTGCCCTCATGCAGCTGCATGCCATGGGTGATGGAGCAACTGCCCAAATCCCGCAGCAAACAGGCAGGATGGCAGCCCAGGGAATGAACACACCATGGAGCTGGTGCCTCTGTCCCTCTTTCCTCCCCAATGGGTGAAGGAGATTGAGCCTGTTCATGAGCTCCTCCCTCCCTGTTTACACCCCACCCTGCTGCCCACAGGAGTTCCCAGAGAAGCCCAGGTTACCCTGGTGTGGTGTCCCATGTCCCAGCCCTCCCTGTCCCTCCCCAGCCCCCCAGGACCTGTTCAGGGTCTCGTTCAGGGAGCGCAGGGAGATGCTGCCCTTCGCCATCGTCCTGGAGAACACCAAGAGGAGGAATAAAAGCTGGAGTGGGCTCGCTCCTCTCTCCTGCGGCCGGCAGCAGGGACAGGGGATCCAAGTCCTGCAGGAGGTTGTTTGTTCCAGGCTTTTTATAGCCTGTATATCCAAATATAGGTCATGGATGCACCAACACACGTCCATGGACGTGTCACACACTGAACCACACAGCCCCTTCCTCTGCCCCACTAATCCCATGGCTTCACTGATGAACTAATTCACAGCTAGCACAAAAGGGAGTAACCACAATTTTCTGCCTTTTTTTCTTTTATTGCTGTGTTTTGGCTTCAACTTGCTGTTGTGCCCACCAGATCATGTCTTGGGCCAAAGTCTCCTGCTGGGAAAGGCTGTACAAGCAGATTGCCTTTGTTTTTTTTAATTAAAAAGGTATGAAGGTAAAATCTGATTTGGATGAGAATGAGTTGTGTTTGGATGCAAGGAGCTGCTTTGAGCAAAACCAAGACAGTTGGAATCTCTTCTATAAAGGGTGGAGAGAGGCAGCACAATCAGATAATGATTTTCCAGAGTTGGGTATGTAAAAAAAAAAGAGCTGGAAATTTTTCCAGTATAATATGAGTCTGGTAACAGCCCACTTGGTGAAACACAGCAGCACAAACCCAAACCTCCCACCTGTGCAGCAGGTCCTCAGCCAGCACTAGGAATTCAGTTCTGTGACAGGATAAGGATAACCCAGGAAAAATCCCTTTTTAAAAAAATTATTTGCCCACTTCATAGGAAATCCAGAATGAACTGAACATGCCCAGAGCTGTAACATTTCCACTTAGGTCTTCCAAAGTGGAAAGGGAAGTTTCCAGCAAGCCAAGTTCTGCTCATCTTGTTTCAAAGCTTTGGGAAGACAGGAAGTATTTGGGTAAGGAGAAGCTGTGCCTTTGGCCCTTGGTATTCACCCTGTGATGGGGGTACAATAAACTTTTGGACACAATTTGGTGTGAGTCTGGCACCATTAGAGTGATTCTAAGGACAAGGGAAGAGTGAGAGAGAAAGCATTTATTAAGACAAGTGTAATAGTTCTTTTTCCCTGATATACACAACTAACTGACAGCTGACCCAGGTGTAACAGTTCCCCTGCTCCTTCTTTTGCTGCAGTGAAAAAATTCAGTTGGCAACCACAGGGAAACAAATTTGATTACCTGTTAATTGATGCATCTCTAGTCTATGCAGCTGCTGACAGAGTGTGATGAAAACCAGATTCCACCAGGCCCAATTTAAGCCAGCTGGGACACAGCTTTATGGGAGAAATCACACAGAGCACTGCAACAGCCCAAACCACCTAGGGCTGAGCCAGTGACAGCCCTGCTGCTGCTCAGCAGCCTCACTTGGCATTGTGGGTGTCTCCTGAGCACTGATTTTCTCCTCCAGCCTTAATTACGTCAGCTTAGCCATGAACTAATGTTACCCCTAAATATAGAGACCCGTTTCACTGAAATTCAAGCAGCAAGCTGCCAGCCCTGCAAGAAAGAGTGGCTGTGTGAGCCACAAAGAACCAGCACGAGGCCAGGGACATCCCAAGTGCACAGCAAACCCCTTCCCTTCCCAGGGACCAGAGGGGTTCCCTGTCCAGGTCACTGTCAGTGCATGTAACTGGCTCTCAGAAGTGGTTTTATCCCTCAGATTTCTGTAAGCACCTGGGTGCCTTAAGGTTCTGGCAATGGATACACTGATACAGAGCTGCTCTGGTCAGCAACCAACACTCTCCTGGAGCCTTTGATCTCTGCACACGACAGCCAGTTCACCTTCTCTCCGTGCTCAATGCTGAGCTTTGGCACAACTCCAGGGTGTTCATTGGAGGCTGCTTTGTTGAGCTTCCCATCTTTTCTGCTGCAAGCAGCTGCTTGGGCCTTTTTCCTGTGCAGAGATTTTGCTGGACTTTTCTGCTGCTTCCCAATGTTGCTGCTGAGATCCCAGAGCAAGATTTTCCCATCGTTTCCTCCAGACAACAAGCAGTAGCCCTCAGGCATAAAGAGCACCTGTGAGACTCCCAGGCTGTGAGCCTGGAACTCCAGCTCATGCTCAAACCTGGCCCCAGTGACTCGGAATATTCGGACTTTACCATCCTGAGCTCCACAGCTGAAGATGTTGCCACAGGAGGCAACAGACAGGGAATGTGCAAGAGGTGGGTTGAAGAACTGCCCAGCTGACTGAGGGCTCTCTTCCTCCATCTCACACTCCTGCAGGTTTGTGGTCCACAAGGGACGAACTTTCTGCAGGTTCCACAGCATCACCTGGAAAAAAAAACAAAACAATTGTTTGTGTATTTTACTCAAATTGGATGTTTAATAGTAAAATAAGCAACCACACTTCTTGTCCTAGCAGAGCAAAGGCTGTGTGTGACTCCAAGGGGTGTAAAGCATGTGGTTAAACTTGCCCTAATAAATGTAGCAAATCTTTCTGGCCTGCTTTGCAAAGTCCCACCACCACACTCTGCAGTCAATGACTCAGACCTCTAGACCATGGAAGAGATGCAAACACTGCTCTAAAAGCTCTTGCATTCATCTCAGCAGTAGTAATCATGACATCCTGCACATCAATTATTGAGAAGGAGGGACAGGGAAACCCTAGCAGTGAATAGAGATCATTATCATTCTGCATTTCTGTCTCTGCTACTTGGCCTATAATAGTCACTGCCACGAACGTGTCTGAAAAATGGGACAGCAAAATCCAAACAGCAGTTGAGGCTGTGGTTTTTAAACAGGCATATTTGTGTTTATTTTTATATCCAGTGGGTAGATCTGGTTTGTGCTATGGAGTAGGGCATGCTTTACCTACTGAGATGGGGCAGGTTGTGCTTTTAGACTTCTTTTTCCAATGCCACCCCAAATCCAAGCCCCCAGTGAAGAATCCTGTGTCTCTTGTACAGCAGTTCAAGCACTACAGATTTATACTGAGCAATTAAAAATAATGCTCTCAAGACTTTTGTAGGATCTGAATTGACAATGAGTATCCTCAAGGCCAACAGATGAAAAAGCACAAGTCAGTCTAATGCAGCACTGGTGTACTGTTTGTTTCATAAAGCTAAGCTTCAATTTGTTGTCAATAAAAATACTCCTTCAGTAGTAATCACCAATAAGAAGTACAGGAGTCTTTAAATTTAGTTCACAAAAGAGCCTGGCTCTGCATTTCTGGGATCCAAATCGCACTAATACATCTGAAACATATTTCCTGTCACTTTCCTGTTACAGTTACTCTGTTGCTGCTGCAGTAAAACTACTTCCACAACAACTGTGATTTACTGTAAATCAGAGGGGCTGGGTGATGCTTGCAGAAAATACTCCTGCTTTCATCAGAGACAGGACTGCAACAATCTGATGAATCCATCAACTGCTGAAGAGCTTTCTGCAAACCAAGTATTTTCTGTCCTCATGGCATTTCCCCTGCTTCATCAAAACTCCTGAAAGAACTCCACCAACCTGAATTTCAATTCTCATCATCCACAGCTTCCCTGAGGGTTTGACAAGCCCAGAACATGTTTTGTAGAGCTCATAACTTGTCCAAAGGCATGGTGCAGCACAGGGCTTCAGAGTTCTGCAGCTAAGCTCCCCTTTGGGAAATGATGGATCTTAAATGCAGCCTCAATGCAGAATGATGCTATTTTCACTGTACAAAAGCACACTAATGAAATCCTGTTCTGGGATACCGACTTTCACCCAAAAACCAACTTGCTGAGCTACAATAAATGAAACTAACACTAAAAAGTCACAAAAAAGAATCAGCTCACTTGTACTGAGTTGTACATAAATGTTTACAATTCTGATTAAAAGTTTTCAGCCACAAGCTGGTGTATCTGCATTTTAGGGACCAAAATTAAGCCAGCTGAGGGACTGAGTGTTTACTTCTCCCAAACAGGCTCTATCATCATGGCTTTAACACATAAAAATACAGTTTATACTAAATATCAGCATGTAATTGCTCTAATGGATGTGAGATGTACTTTGGTTTCAAGAACAGAAGGTGAAACTGCTCAAAGCTGTCACACAAACTTCACCCTGACACCGCTGGAACCACAGAAACCTTTGAGAAGTGACAGTTTTCATATAGGGCTAAACCAGGAATGTGGTCAGGCCTCAACCACTGGAAAGAAATTACTGAAAAATATCTGTTCTGGGCTTAAGTCCCAGCATGGCTCTTCTCAGAATGCAAAGGACAAAGTTTCCTCTTGATGAGAATAGGAAGGTTTAAAAGGCAAAGAACATTTCATGCTTCCAAGATGCTAACAGAACAAAGGATAAATGACACAAATCACTTGTCCTCACAGTGATATGTTCCACTTGGAAAGATGCTGCTCTACCTGCCTGCCTCAAGCACTGTGCCTTCTCCTCACCATCCTTTGCATCTCATCTGCAGTCACCACTGATCCCTAGGGACAGCTGCTGGTTTTGCTCAGTCCAACAAAGAGCCAATATAGCACAAGTGAGCTTTGCAGTGTGTTCTGATTTCCCCTCACCCCACTCACTTCTGAACTGTAAATATCAATGAAGATAAAAACAGGGCAGAAGCTGCTGAGTGGAAAAATTACTTCAGAATAGCCCCAAAACTACTTCAGAATAGTGAGGAGCTTCACAGTGACTGCAGGCTGAACACCTTCGTGCTCGGTGAAAGTCTGTGGGTGCCTCACTACACAGATGGCTAATTACTGTTTCACTTCATTAATACCCATGCACATGTATGCAAATCACCTGCATGTCCAGCCCACAGGAAACCAGGCTCTGAGGCCGCTGAGGTCGGAAGGCAACAGACGAGCAGATGTTGGAGTGTCTCAAGGACCGGCTGACTTTCTTGCTTTCCAAGTCCACAACCTTTATGGCCCCCGAGTCATCGGCGGCAGCCAGCAAGCTGTCGGTGTCGTTCACCGACAGGCAGTTGATCTCCTCCTCGTTCACGTGGAAGCGCTGCAGGGGCTCCTGCAGGCAGCGCACATCCAGCACGCTGATGGTCTCTCCGTGGGCCGTGTACAGCGTACTGGGCCGCCGGGCTGAGAACACCACTGAGGTCACGTCCTCCGCCTGCGGGAGCCGCAGCTGAGCCACGGCCGAGCCCGCCCCGTCCCAGAGCGCCAGCTCGCCCCGCTCCGCGCCGGAGGCCGCCAGCCCTTCCGTGCTCACGGCCAGGCACAGCACGGAGCAGGAATGGCCACCGCTCCACTGCACTGCCATGCTCCACGGACACCCTGAAACAAACAAAAACGAGCCCTGAATGAGGTGGTTGCTGGTGTCATTTTAGCAGAAACGCATCAAGCAAGAAGATCATCCTGAAATGCCGGTGTCCAGTTAAATCGGGCACCACCACAGCTCAGGACAGCTCAGTACCCAAGTGGAGCTTTCGGGACACCGCGGGGCTGACCTGTCTGTTCCAACCTAAATAACACAATGAGACTTTTAAAAAGAAGTATTACTAAGTTAAAACAGGTTGCAACATATTTAATAGGCTCTCAGAGCACACCCACGGCGCTCACCAACCTTAACCCTTCCTGGTGTGACTGCCCGCATCAGCCTGTTACAGCACTGCTTAGCGCAGCACATCAGCAGAAAATTAAGATAAGGACGAAAAATGGTAGCACAAAAGTGTTGGAGGGACTGGGAGGCTGCAGAGAAAAGCACATGGTCCGTGCATTTATTTAACTACTGGGCAACAAACGGCTTGTTTCTGGCGGCTTTACCTTCTTTTGTTTTATTTTTTTTAACCACGTTATGTTTTCCATGTGATTTTTGTTGACCCAGATCTAAAGAGCACCCAGAGCCCATTCATTCCACCAGAGGAGGAACTTCGCTCTTGGCGATCAAATAACCCTGCAGAGAAGGCCGATACCTTCCCCGCAGTTCGCTTCGGGACACATTCGCGGCCGCCGCTCCCCGGGGGTCCCAGGTGAGTCGTACCCCGCCAACCCTCGGGCCCTGCGGCAGCTCGGTCCGACCGCCCCCCGTCCCGGCAGGCCCGGCCCTACGGCCGCCCCCCGGCCCGGCTCAGCTCGGCCCGGCTCAGCTCGGCCCGGCCCGCGGGGCGCGGCGCTGCCGGGGCCGTCCCGGGGGGCTCGGGAGGCGCGGGGCCCTCAGCTCTCACCTCAGCGCCCCTCGGCTCCGCCGCGCTCCCCTCGCCTCCCCCGGGCTCCGCTCGGCTCCGCCGCCGCCCCCGCCCCTCGCCGGCCCCCCGCGCCCGCCGCGCACGCGCGGGGCGGTGCCCGCGGCCGAGATGGCGGCGCCGCGCGCCCCCGCGCCGTGAGGGCCTCGGGCGGCCCCGGCCACACCGGGCGGGCGAGGGCAGCGCGGGGGGCGATGGCGGCGGGGCCCGGCCCCGGGCCCGGCCCCGGGGCGGCCGCGGCGTCGTGGGGAGGGCCGGGCTGGCGGCTGCCGGGGCGGGTGTTGGAGCTGGTGTTCTCGTACCTGGAGCTGCGGGAGCTGCGGAGCTGCGCGCTGGTCTGCAAGCTGTGGCACCGCGTCCTGCACGGCGACGAGAACAGCGAGGTGTGGCGCAGCCTGGCCGCCCGCTGCCTGGCCGAGGAGGCCCTGCGCACCGACATCCTCTGCAACGTGCCCACCTACAAGGGCAAGGTGAGGCCGGGACCCCCGCCCCGCCGGGACACCCCCTCACCGCCTCCCCCGGCGCTCGGGGACACCCCCGCGGCCCTCCGGCCCACCCGCCATTGGAAACCGAGGGGGCGGGAGGCTGGGGAGCGCCACAGGGTTTTATCTCCTAGAGCCACAATGGTTCGGGTTGGAAGGGACGCCTCCCACTAGAGCAGGCTGCTCGCAGCGCCGTCCATCTCCCCCTCCCGCCTTGTCTCGCCCAGGTCCGTGCCTTCCACCACGCCTTCAGCACCAACGACTGCTCGAGGAACGTGTACATCAAGAAGAACGGCTTCACGCTGCACCGCAACCCCATCGCGCAGAGCACGGACGGGGCGCGCACCAAGATCGGTTTCAGCGAGGGCCGGCACGCCTGGGAGGTGTGGTGGGAGGGCCCGCTGGGCACCGTGGCCGTCATCGGCATCGCCACCAAGCGCGCCCCCATGCAGTGCCAGGGCTACGTGGCCCTGCTGGGCAGCGACGACCAGAGTTGGGGCTGGAACCTGGTGGACAATAACTTGCTGCATAACGGGGAGGTGAACGGCAGCTTCCCCCAGTGCAATAACGCGCCCAAATATCAGGTGAGGGGGTTTGGAGTGGGCTTGGAGGGTGCTGGCTGTCACTCGCTGTCCCAGCTGGCTGCTGAATTGCTCCTAAGTGACTCTCAAAGGTCTCTTTGCCTCCCCTGTAGAAGGCAAATGATTCCACTTTGTGAGCTCTTTCCCCCATTGATTTACTGCTTGTGCAGGCTACACCTGTCTGGTGCTCAGTGCACCTGACACCCTGGGTTGTTCCCACACTTTAATCTCAAACTCTGAGTGTGAAACCTGTACTGTGGGTGTCTTTGACATCGTGGTGCTTTTTGGAATAAAACCTGAAAGACTGTTGTAGCTTTCTGAAGTAGCAACTTGCCCCACAGCAAGGTGAGTGTCTGAGGGCTTGTACCCCTTTGTTGTGTGGCAGGGTGAGCTGAAGTTAGTGCTTAGGTGAGATTCTTCCTGCAAAAACCTGTAGCAGTGCTGTTTGCCGCTGCTTTGCTCAGTGGCCGCCTTCCTTCTGTGAGTGACATTTCTTATCTGGAATCTGATGTTCAGATAACTTCAGGGTGTTAAAGAGCAGAGGCCACCCTATCTTTTTGTCCTTATAGAAGTGCTTGTCTTGTCATTCTGCCTCCTCACACAACTGCTGGATTTGCTCGTGTTACAACTTAAACTGGATCATTGTTATTTCCATCTCCTATTCAGAGAATGGGTTAGAAGGGACTTTAAAAATAATCCACTCCAAGTCCCAGTGCTGTGGCTTTGTTTCACTTGTGGATGAAGATCTATCTAGTACCTTGCATGTGATATTCTTAAATTTTGTGTGAAAGTTCCAGTCAGTGACCATTTGATGTATTTTGTGTTTATTGACACCTGTGCAGTGATCTGCTCATAGAAAACGTGCTTACAGGGAACACATGTGTGTGTTAGTGTTGGCTAGAAGAAATTGCCAGTGCTGGGGCTGGCTGGAGAAGAGTCAGGAGTTTTTGTGTAGTGCCTGCTCTGCTTGTGGCTGTTGTCTGGGACTTTTGTTGGTATCTGAAATAATGCGTGCTGGATAAATGCAGGGAGCATATATATTTATTTAGGTGTTTCATTTTACATTTTGTACTGAAATTTCCTTTTTCCTTGTTGAGGGAACACCTCTGTCAGTGACAGCACCTGCATATTAATCTATTCTGGGATTTTTTTGTAGGTGGCACTTGCCTTTCTCTAACCCATTGTCTTTAAAGATGCTCCTCACAGAGCAGTTGCTGCTCAGTGATAGCAGCAGCTGAACACAGGGCTCAGGTAACTTGGAGCCCATTGCAGAGATTCCAGAGCTCTGCAGTATTTCCAAAGCACACAGCACAAAGTGCCTGCTCCCAGTGCTTTCACAGGTTCATATGGGAAGGGTCATGCTTGTTATCATAAACAGGTGGTGGATGCTGTCCTGCTTCAGATCATGGTGAAACTGAGAAATTCCCTTCATAAGAGCAATCAATAATGAGACACGGGACAGCCCTGCTTTAAAATTCTCTGCTGTGTTCCACTGTGCATTATTTTTGTTTCCATCTGAACATGCTGACCCTCTCTGTGTGTTATTTTTACTCTCCCTCCTGTCTCTGTTTCCAGATAGGTGAAAGGATTCGAGTTATCCTGGACATGGAAGACAAAACATTAGCGTTTGAGAGGGGCTATGAGTTCTTGGGAGTTGCCTTCAGAGGACTGCCAAAAGTTTGCCTGTATCCAGCAGTGTCTGCTGTGTATGGTAACACAGAAGTGACTTTGGTCTACCTGGGAAAGCCTCTGGATGGATGACATGGATTGTCTCGTTGGGACGTCGAGATGTGGATGTTTGGGAGGAGAAATCTGCATGTTGGTTAGAGGGAAACGTGTATTAGAGGAAAAAAAAAGAACAAAAAAGTGTGGGTGTGTGTCCAAGAGCCATCCAGGGAACCACGTGGAGTTTGGAAACGGAGGACCAGCCGTTCTTCAGAAATTGTGTTACATTTCCTCTTTCTGCCAGGCCAGAAAAATCCTCAGGGCTGCAGTTGGTTGAGTGGGAAGCTGACACATGCATGTCGCAGCAGATTTTATTGCTAAAATGGCAGTGTGACCTCAAACATTTCTGAAAGGACTTGATACAAAAATGCTTGAGGAAATTACCCTGGGATTTGTAAGTGGCGTGTTTTGTGAGAGACTCCCATTTCCAAACTGCTTGTTCCTTCCTTCCTTCCTTCCTTCCTTCCCTTCTTCCTTCCCTCCTTGGGGCCAGCATGGGGGCTGGAGCAGAGCTGGGGGTATTTACAGTTTTTAGTGTCCTCAGAGGCACGGTCTGTGCAACTGCCCTTCTCTGGTATTACCATACAACACGTGTGCAGCTATTTTTAAGTGTATTTTAAGGATTGTATATAAAGAAAACGTTGAAAAGAACAGTTAAAAGAAAGGGTTTGCTTTATTCTAACTGGGACAGAATTTCTTAAAGGGGGGAAAACAAAATCACCCCCCTCCCTGGCACCAGAACACACAGCTGGGACAGGTGTGGAGCCTTCATGTCAGTGCAGTTCTGTTGTGATGTGTTTTGGGATGCTCTTGTGGAGTGAGGTGCTGCTTTGGGTTGTTTCCTGTGAAAGTTTCCATGGCTTCAGGTTTGTTCTCTGTAGGAAACAAAAACGTTTTCCCCACGAGTTTCCCTCAGGAAGGAAGGCTGAGCACAGCACTGAGCCTGCCTTCCTCTCCATGTCAAAAATGGCACCTTTTCAAAGCATTCTCTCACTTGCTGATCACTGTTGTGAGATGTCTCACCTTGATGTGGAAGGAGCATTGGGCTTCTGCAACCAGACCTTACTTTCAGCTTCAGTGGCTTTATAAAGCTTTAAGGCTTTCCTGAAACTTTCTTAACTGAATGAAATCCCCCAGCACCCCAACATTCACCTGCCCAGGACTAGTAAAACTCTCACCAGCCCTTTGATGGGGATTCTGGGTCACATTCAGTGTTTGTGCTCTTCACTGATTTTCTCAAAGCCATGTCCAGACCCCCCAGGCGTGTCTGTGTGCAGGCCTGTGCAGGTTGGGGAGCTGCCAGGTGTGGTGAGGAGGGAATTCCTGGTGAAACCACTTTGCTGTGAGGCTGGAAGGTCTCTAGGGAACCCTAGGAGGGCCTTTAGCAGGGCAGGAAGGCTGTGACACCCATGGCTGGCTCCTGACTCTGGTTTTGTGCTGGTTGGCATCTCCCAGAGCTGCCTGGGCTGTTTCAGAGCTGCTTTTCAGAGAGGGAAAGGAAATGTTTATACAACTTCTTTTTGCTTGTTTTTTTTTTTTTTTTTTTTTTTTTGTTTTGTTTTGTTTTGTTTTGTGCTAGAGAATGTGAGTTGCTTGGTACCAGACACTGGCAATTCTCTGAGCATGGAAGA